TGGTTTGTTGCCATCATCTTTGTTGCCGCTTTCAAAATTTTATCACCTATCTGTATATCAGCTGATTTCTTTGCAAACAATCTCTCTTTCATAAAATATTAGCAAAAATGTTGTTTTTTTAATTTAAAAATTTCATATGACAATCTTTTCAGCAGGAAGCATATTCAGAGAAATAATTTATGCCCAAATTATCCTTATTATATGCCTTATTATTTAGCCGAGCATCCTCACCTTGTTTGTTATGTACACAATGTTTTGTCTATTGTAATATAGTAACAACTCTAAGTAGAAGCTTATAAAGCTTTATTTGACTCATTCAGCTTTAGTACTGAAAAATGTTTATTTTATTGTGATGGATGGTTATGAGCAAGAGGGGAGATGGAATGTGCTTATTTTATTAACATAACCCTTCTACCCTCAGGTCTTCTTCAGGTGTTTCTTATTGTACTCAGCAACATTCTCAGAATTTTGAACTGATCTCTTTATTGTATCCACATTCCATGTGACCTGTAGTCAAGTGGATTAAAGGGTTGGTTAAAACGTCTCTGGTTCCATTGTGGAATAATCCAAGTTACCTTTCACCCTTTTGCAGAACAATCCATTCTTACATTCACACACCTGTTATCCAATCAAAACACTAATTCTGACAAACTCAGCTTCTCATTGGCCAACAGCTTTAAGAAACTAAGCATGCACATGAAAAATGCCTTTGGCGCTCAAATGTGTTTGAGCCTATTTTTCCTTTCCAGAACCTATAAAAGAAAGAAATTCGAACTACCTTACCAGTCAGATTTCCACACTCAAAGAGATGCCAACCAATTCCATGCCAGTTTAAACTTTGACTTTCCCACGCAAATTAACCTCTGACTCAGCAACTCTTTGGCATACTCAATCTCTCTCTTTTAAACAAACTTCTCAAAATTCATTTACTTTACTTGAAGAAAGTGATATATATATTCACTACGTATTAATAGTAACAAACAAAACTTTTAACAATTAAAAGTTCAAGTACGCAACTTCATACAACTTAAAAATATTTTACATAATACTCATATACACACACTAACATTTGAACTGTAAAATCGAACACTTTTGTACATTGAAACAGCAAACTGTTTAATTCTTGCAACAAATCTCCAAAGCACTGATTTAAGCATTCAAACATACTCAACAACAAACTACAATACTCAACAAATCACCAATTCCTAACTCATTTGTATGCATTTAAATTGTATATAAATTACCGTATTGTTGTGCATTCTACTTGCCTTTGTTTTTTTACTCTGCTTTGCATGACCTATTTTAAATCCTTCTGATTTAACTAAATACATTCACTAATCCCCAACACCATGATAGTTGTGTGTCAATTCCTTGTGCATTTTCTCTTCTGTACTCTGGAAGTGGAAACAGGAAAGAAACACAAATGTGAATAAGATTGGTGAGTATTTGCTGATATGAAATATCTCCAAAGCATCGAAAGGGGAAAATGAGAAAGTGAGTTTGACGACAGACAACTCATGAAGACTGGGAGGCACAATGACTGAAAACACGTGAGTATGACAATCAAGAAAAGTGTTATGGGACCTTACCCATAATAACATAATGGATTATTCCATACGTAATAAATACTGCGCCTCAAGAGGAAGCAGAGAGTTCAGTCTGAAGTCTGGAGTGATGTCCGTCAGAAGTCCATCAGGAGTCTGTCAGTCAGTCAGAGCGAGCGAGTCAGTCAGTCGAGTCAGAGGCAGACCGAAACAGAGTTGCGTTCAGACAATTACTACTAAACCTGATTGTTCGTACTTGCACTTTCTACTTCTCTGTATATATTCCTGCTTGTAATATATCTGTGTTATTCCATATCCGTGTTCGAGTTCTTCTTTATTGGTTCTACCTTGGGCTATCACCGTGCTACAAGGAACCGGACCATAACAATAAGCCTGTTAGTCCAAAAAATAAGGAATATAATAGAGAAATATGAAAAGGTTTTCTTCATATATTAAGGGCAAACAAGCCAATGAAATAAAAAATAATGTAACAATATTGATTGAGGACAAGATAGGTATTGCAGGAAGAAGTATGGTGAACAGATATGATACAGTCTTTTTAAATTGAACATAATTTTCTTTAAAAACTGAGCAACAGATATCCAGTAACTATAGTCCCAATCACATAAGTTTACAATAGTGGAATTTTACAGATGATCAATGAAAAGGCTGGCCCCCACTAAGGACAGTGCAAGATTTGAAAGACTCTCCCTTTTGTCTTTGGTAGTAACAAGATATCTTTTTCTATTGATATGTAAGTATCTGCGAGACAGATACTGAAGGTTGCTTTGAAATCTTCACATTTAATTTAATTGCTAATTTTTCCCTTTAGTAACATGTCCATTTAATATATTTAATAATACTGGTTTGTTTAAATTTCATGTTTTGTGTCTCTTATTTTTGCCTGAACCCACATAGTGCACCAGGAGTATTAAACATTTACTAACAAACACCCACACCTTTATCAAAAGTGTTAATTCCCACAACAAGCCAGTATGTTGGCATGAGGTTTTTGGAATTTAATCTTCATGAAAATGCTGAATCATACACACGAGAAGAATATCCTGTCATTCACACTTATTGTGGCATGAAAATATTTAAATGTGATGTCTGTAAAACAGATAAACCACAAATTTCTAACGATTATGGTTTCTCTCCAGTATGTATTTCTAAGGAAATTTTTAAAAGTGATCTCAAAATGTTAAACAACACATTTCACATAAATAATTATTCTCACCAGGGCATCTATCTTTTTAAAATTTATATACTGAACTTCAAACTTAGCAAGGAGTTAGTTTCTCACCACTGTGTGTTTGCAGATGTCTTTTTAAATTTGATAGCTTTGAAAATGCTGAATCACATGCTTCACATGAATATAAGTTTACTCCAGTGTGTATTTTCATGTGTGTTTTCAAAGCTGAACTTTGTGAATGTGCTGAACCACACACTTCACATGAATATGGTTTCTCACCAGTGTGTGTTCGCATGTGACATTTTAAACGCATTCTCCTTGAAAATGCTGAACCGCAAACTTCACATGAATATGGTTTCTCACCAGTGTGTGTTTTCATATGTCTTTTTAAATCTGATCTTTTTAAAAATGCTGAACAACATACTTCACATGAAAATGGTTTCTCACCAGTGTGTGTTTTCAGATGACTTTTCAAAGTCGAGCTCTGTGAAAATGCTGAACCACACATTTCACATGAATATGGTTTCTCGCCAGTGTGTGTACGCATGTGACATCTTAAATGTATTCTCTGTGAAAATGCTAAACCACATACTTCACATGAATATGGTTTTTCTCCAGTGTGTATCCGCAAGTGAGTTTTCAAATTTGAATTCTCTGAAAATGTTGAACCACATGTTTTACATAAATATGGCTTCTCTCCAGTATGTGTTTTCATGTGACTTTTCAAACTTGAGCTCTGCAAAAATGCTGACCCACACACTTCACATGAATATGGTTTTTCTCCAGTGTGTGTTCGCAAGTGTGTTTTCAAATTTGAATTTTCTGAAAATGTTGAACCACATGTGTTACATGCATAAGGTTTCTCTCCAGTGTGTGTTTTCATGTGACTTTTGAAACTTGAACATTGCAAAAATGCTGAACCACAAACTTCACATGAATATGGTTTCTCACCGGTGTGTATTCGCATATGACATTTTAAATATGATCTCAATGAAAATGTTGATCCACAAACTGCACATGAATATGGTTTGTCACCAGGGTGTGGTTGCACATGACAATTCAAATGTGAAATCTGTGGGAATTTTAATCCACAGTCATTATAGGAAGAGGGATTTCCATCAATCTCTGTTTGCATGTCTATCCTTTTATCATAAATTGCTTTCATGGACATATTGCTATACTGGAGAATAATATATCTTATTTGTAGTGCCTCTGATGATATGCTTTTGATATAAGCATTTTAAAATATTATCACATTTCAAAATAATTTTTTATCTTCGGTCTTTGTTAAATTTTCACTCCATAAAAACAGTTTCAAAAACAGTGTTATTTATTTTGGTTTCATATTCAACATTGAATCCATGATTAAAGTTTTTCCACACAGTATTGACATATGACCACCATTTATTTCCCATTATATTTGGAATCTCTGAAAACAAAAGAGGTGTTCTTAAAGATCACATGTTTATTACTTATTTACAATCAACAAAATTTACTTATTTTATAGAAATGTACTTTGGATTTCAATGTATTCCATTATGTCTCATTACATATTTCAAGTCATTAATAATATGGAAAAAAAATCAGTAAAATAAAATGAATACAAGTCAAATCACAGGAATTCATGTGTGTATGTGTGTGTGTGATTTTTATTGTATGAATATAATGAGTTTCGTTTTAATACAATTTTGAGGGTGATAGATTTCTTTCAAAGGCTGCTGAAAGGACACTGGATCCAAATCCATGGCTTTCTGACTCCTAATTTTTATGTCTTCAGGGGTGTAGCCATATTCACCATGCTTGGTCAATTATATGTTGTTGTGGCTATTTAACCCATAGTTGGGGTTTCGAATTCAGAAATGTCCTCCACCTAGATCTTGCCATTCAAGGCTATGAGACCCAGTCTCTCCTGCCTTTTTACCCATAGATGGGAGGAGAAGAGATGGATTCATACCTTTCCCAAGCATATTTGTATGTAAGTGAATGTAATAAACTTGACTGGAATTTGAACTCAAACCTCCAATTCCTCAGTCTGAGCCATTACTTCACTATACTACAAAGTATGGTGGAGTAATGGATAGTAAAGAATACATAAAAAAAAGAAAATGATCACATTTATTTTGTTGAAAGAAATCTTGAGGGAGCAAATATCTGAAAATATACTGAAGCACTTTTGAAATGAGACAGTATATGACCTTTAGAAATGCCACAGAAGTCGACAAACTCATCATACAATTGACAAGACCTAAATTTGAATATATTGTATGGAGGGGGTGCATGAACAAAGGATTCATGGACCAATCTATTACAACTTCAAACAGCGATTTTCTTCCCGCCAAAAGTCAGTGACGTATGAGAATTGCAAGAGTGATGATTTTAGAAGCAGAAGAAAGATGAGTGAAAGAACTGTTGGCATGCACATTCAATGAAACAAGAGATACAGAAAAGAAAAACTTGTATCAATAAATAAAACATATCAAATGCTTTTACTAATTTTGAAGAGAGAGATATATATATATATATATATATATATATATATATATATATATATATATATATATAGTGTAGAGAATAAATCTTTTTAATTGTTGAAAATTTTTCCTTAGAGCATTTGCCATCTTTTTACAAATTTCAGGAACTGACAATAAATTTCTAGAATATTTTCAGTTTATAAATATTTCCCAATCTACATAAAATTGTAATAAGTTATTAAAACATATTTGAAAATATGTACTAAGTCATTATCAACAGAAATAAAACCAACAGACACATTAATGCTATTAGCTGAAAACTTGAATCTGCAAAAATTTAAATGTAATGTCAATCGCTATCTATTGCTCTCCTGATTACTCTTTTCTCTTACCGCTCATTATTTTTTTTTGTTTCTAATCCTTCCACACCCAGTAACACCTTGTGTGTTAGTGGCTTTACTACTTTGCATGAGGTGATATTGATTAAAAAAAACAGAAAATAACTACTATTATTAATTACAATTTACGTGTTAATATGGCAAATAAAAGAAAATTGCATTTATCAAATGACCAATTCAAATAAATTTAATAAATAAAATATCTTTAAATCTTCTTTAACAGTAAGACTTTGTTAAAGATAGTGTAAGCTGTGTAAATAAATATTAATTGAAAACAAAGAAACATGTCACAAAGTGAATAGAATTTTTAAAATACTGTTTATAAAATAGGTATGAAAAAAATTTTAATTTCAGAAAATTACGTTACTTTCACAACACAAATTTAAGAGATTCAAGTAAATGTAATTTGGAATAAATAGTTACAGAAACACTGTTTGCAATATGAAACAAGCTAAATTTATACATTTGATAAATGAAAGAAATGTTATTCTTAACTCTATCTTCTTTCTGATGTCATTTTAACTTTATACATTTAAGAGATTCAATTAAATGGAATTTGGAAGGTCTATTAAAGTAATAAAAATATTACCACAAAATATCAGGATATTTCACCATTGATGTAAGGTTTATTATTATTTTAACAATAACCCTCTATCTTGAGTGATTCACGAGGCTTGTATTGGGTGATATTTAGTATTAAAAAACCTAATACAAAATTTAATGTCGCAAAAAAAAGAAGCAAAATTACAAATATGAAATGATTCATTTTCAGAATTGAATAAAATATAACTGAATAATTTAAAAAAAAATTTCACATATATGATTTAGTTGAAGATAGTGTAAAATATAGAGATATGTTATTCAATTAAAAGCAAAGCAAATGCAGGTCACAGAATGAAGTTAATTTCAAAAACGGTGTTTGATATTTTATAAGACTAAGAAAACAAAGAGGTGCTATGGTATAAGGAAATTTACTTCAGTTTTAAGAAAAAGGAAATTCAAATTTCGGAAACACACACACACACACACACACACACTTGTAAGCCATTAGATTTGTAGGGGCACCACGTGTTCTGCATCTGCAACAACAGTGGTGTTTCCTTGGCAAGATAGCCTAATGAAGCCCAACCCTCTCTGAGTTTTTCCTTCTTCTAGACCGGTTGCCACCCAAGGCTTTTCACCCAGCAAACTGCATAAGTTGGGAGAAACAATTATACGGGGTGTTGCAGCAAAAAACCGACACTTGACAAAAAGAGAACGAAATAGGCAATAAAAACAAAAGTTGTACATGCAGAGACCCGACAGTTTGACAACTAACGTTTTTCTCTCTACCCTTTTCCAGGGTGGAATATGAGCAAAGAGCAGCGGTAGTAGCTTCTTTTCGCACCGGGAAGAAGCCTGCGGAAATGATGGCCTGGTTTGGGTTCAAGAGGACCATGGTCATGGACACTTGGAGGAAGTGAAAGGCCTGTGAGAACAAGGACGAGTTTACTGCCAAACGAAAGGCCCACAACGTTCGCTCTTCTGCCGTTAGGACCGACGAGTTAGTCGCCGCCGTCAAGGAGACAATCGACAATGATGGAAGCCAGAGCTACGCAAAGATCGCCGCTGACATGGGCTGTCACAAGTCGACGATCTGCCTAACGATCAAGAAGGACATTGGTTACTCCTCTTATCGCAAGTCACACCGCATGCTCATCACGAATGCCTCCAAGGAGTCGAGGAAGATCAAGGCGGCGGCTTTGCTGAACGAGCTCAAGCATGGGTCGGCCAGGATGCTGAGGTTCTTCTCTGATGAAAAGAATTTCATCCAGGATCAGACAAGCAACAGGCAGAACGACAGCTGGATCAGCAAAGACATCGAGAAGGTTCCCGTTGTGAAGCATACGAAGTTTCCCCTCCTCTGTCATGGTCCTTGACGTCATCTCCAGCGAGTGGGACGTCATGCCTCCGTTCTTCTTTCAAAAGGACCTGAGAATCACCGCTGAGATCTACCAGGAGATGCTGAGGAGCGTGGTGAAGTCCTGGATGCCCCTACATCTTCCAGCACGACCCGGGCGTGGCTGCTCAACAATGTTCCTCACCACAGGCCGCCGAACTTGTGGCCGCCCTCGTCACCCGACTGTAACCCCCTTCACTATTTCTTCAGGGGCGTGATCGAGGCCAAGACCAACAAGCACACCCATAACACAGTCAACTCACCGAAGGCTATCATCGTGGAGGCGTTCGCCGCTATGGACAAGGACATGGTCGCCAAAGCGTGTGAATCATTTTGCGCCCGCCTTGAGATGGTCGTCACAGCTGCCGACGGTTACATTGAAAAATAATGTAGTATGTAAAACTGTTGTTAAATAAACTGTCGGGTCTCTGCATATACAACTTTTGTTTTTATTGCCTATTTCGTTTTCTTTTTGTCAAGTGTCGGATTTTGCTGCAACACCCTGTAGAAACATAATCTGCAATAGGAAATAACAAACTAATTTTGTACATTTTGAAAATATTATTCTTAACTTAATTTTTTTTTTCTGGCAGAAAAATCCAAAATAAAATGAAACACTGATTCTATATTGATAACAAGGCCTGTTGAAAAAAAAAAAAAGAAACACTTGTTTGGATAATAAGAATAAAAATATTGTCACAAAATTATGGGATATTTCACCATTAATGTAATGTTTATTATTACTTTACTAGATAAAGATTTAGTTTTTCAGTCAAGGCAGGTACAATTCATAAATGTCTGGTTCTTTATAACCCATTTCGTTAGCATTACCTCCCCAGCCCCACTAGAAATTATGGGATATTGCACCATTCATTTGAGGTTTATTATTATTTTACGAGTTGAAGATTCAATTTTTGGCAAATTTGGACCTTCAAGCCCGAAAAAAAACAAAAAAAAAAAAACAGAATGTCAAAAGGACAGTATTTCCATTGACATAGCTATTAACTATCTTCACTCCTCAGCAATGTGTATTGTTTTAAAAAGTGATGACTGGAATTGGAATAAAATCTAAACATATGATGAAAATGAATTTATACATTTTTTTTTTGTTCTTGAGAATTTGCAACGAAATACATGTAACAATAAACAATTGAAAAATGAAAGAAATTTTACATATACAGTGTAACCCGGATATAAGAGAAACCCGGATATAAGAGAGTTATCGGGACCGGAGAAGGAGTCTCTTATATCCGGGTTTCTCTTATATCCGGGTTTTTGGTCTATTTTGTTTAGGTAAGTATGGGTTCTAATTTGGGATCAGAGAAAATCTCTCTTATATCCGGGTTTCTCTTATATCCGGGTTACACTGTATATTACAGCATTTAAGGGAACGCTCATATCCATATTCACAGTTTAGACAGATATTAGTTGAAAATAGATCAATATTACACCAAAATAATAAGCAAAAACTTAAAATCCTAGAAGCCCTTTATACAGTGTAACCCGGATATAAGAGAGATTTTCTCTGATCCCAAATTAGAGTCATACTTACCTAAACAAAATAGACCAAAAACCCGGATATAAGAGAAACCCGGATATAAGAGACTTATTCTCCGGTCCCGACAACTCTCTTATATCCGGGTTACACTGTATAAGAGAATTAAAGCCCAAAATAAATAGAGTGAGTACAGAAATGAAGTTCTTAATGGTTGTAGCAGCAAAGTTATATAATTATTTTTTTAAATTATGATTCCATCGCAACGTAGAAATTAATGTTTTCGAAACTGACTCAAGTCATACAGTTTAATTTCAATATTAAACTTAAAATTTGGAGTATTGTTTCATTTTCAAGCGATGTTTAGAATAAAAAAAAGCTACTCTGATCAAAAGAGGAAACAATTCACTAAGACAAAATATTTAGAGAGAGCTCTTGGATCACTAGATCATCCATAGTAAATTTACGCCCAAGCACTTACAGCATTTCATCATTTCTGGCAAATCTTCAGTGTGGGATATCCAATATCCAATAACAAAAGTGAAACAACTGCTGACACAATTTTCAAGTGCTCGTTTTTTTTTTTTTTGGTGTGTGTGTGTGGGGGGGGGGTAACACTGTATTTTAATATTTCTCCATGTTTTTCCCAAGAAGGAATATTTCTAAAATAATTTCATTCATTTGAGAATAAGTCATGAAAGTTTCATTAAAATTCGACAATTATCTGAATTTTACAAAAATTTCCAAATCAATGTGTTTTTCACCGTAAAAAAGAAGACGAAAATTTCCCGTACTAATTCATGGTAACCCGCTGACACAGGAAAAACAACATTTTCGTTTAACCAAAGTTTCGAAGGTTCTAAAAAGGATTTAAAGATATTTAACAATCAATATATCATTTGGTCTTTTCTCTTAATAATAACAAAGATCGTGACGATAAAACTTTGTTTTTACTTTTTATTAAGTTTTGTTTGGGCAGTTTTTCATCATATATGACGATGCTTGAATTTTTGGAGGTATACTTTCACAATTCAACAAATTTAAATTTTAATAAAATATTATGCAAAGGTGGGTCCTGACATTTGCAAAAGTAAAAATGTTTGTGTATAAAAAATTAATCATTTGTTGGTCGTCAGCGCCATATGTGATGGCAGAGAGAGCCGTGAAGAAAAAAATGAATGAAAGCGACAATTAACCGCAAAGCAGCTTTGCCAAAGCTAATTACTTGGAGAATATATATTTTTTTAATTTCTTTTTTTTGGTATTACTATTATTAAATCGTTGTTCAGACTATTTTAATTATTAAGGAGAAAAAACAAAAAAACATGAATACTCTGAAAAAATTTACGCATTAACTAAAAAAAAAGTAAAGTAATAAGTAAAAAAAAAAAATGTAAAATTGAAATCATAAATAAAAAAGATGATATATCTGAGTAATTTTTGTTTTTAGAGAAATTCAAATTTTTTTTTTTTAATTCCACTCACATAATTTACTTACCAGTAAAACGTGCATTTAAAGACTATTTACCTTTTTAAAGTTAAAGTGGCATTTAAAACTTCCTAAAATATAAAATAATAAAAATAAATAAACTTTTGAAACGCAACAACTCGTGGATGCATCAAACAACAAAACGAATGCTAAAATAAATAAAAATAAGCAATTTTTTACCCAAAGAATAAGTGTTTTTTTTTTGTTTGTTTGTTTTTTTATAACGATGTTTTAATTTCTCAATAAGTTGATTTGTCAAAGGCAAAAGAAAGTGTGTGCATAGTAGCGTGGGATCTGAAGAAAAATCGAAACTTGATTCAAGTTAAAAAGAAAAGTAAATAAAATGAAAAGTACTGAAAAGCCTATTTTCTCGCACTTAAAACCACCCAAAACAAGAACACAAGAGTGACATTAATCGACATTTCTTTGTTTTACAAATAAGGAAGGTGTCCGCAATTTGCAACCAAATTAATTCAATTGTAAACAAAAACAACAGTGAATGTTATATACTTACAATACAATGAATTCGTATTTCTATGAGATACGCAGCATTGGAGTATAAGGGAAATTTTTTTAAATATTAAGGAGAGATTTTAAATTTTATAATTTAAAATAAAGCAAAAGTTTTGGCTTCAAATTTTCTTTTAAAAATAATGCAGTTTTTTACAATGACACGTAAATATCAAAATTCAAGGGAGATAATCAACGAAAGCTCTCAAATATTGATTTTATTTTTAAATAAAGGTAAATTGAATCCAATCATTTTTTGTCCGGTATTTTGTTTTTAATTTTCCCCTTTCTAAATTAAATATAATAAATTATTATTTTTTATAATTGATAATTTATGCAAAAAGAGAGAAAATTTTTTTAAATTTATTTATTTGACATTTACTTAACTGTTAGAGTAAATGTTATTCTTAACTGTTTTAGTTAAAGTAATATCTGTCTTCCTATATGTCAGTGAATGCTGGACAGATGAAGAAACGACTTGAGACAACAGAAATGTGGTTCTACAGAAGGATGATGAGAATACCATGGACTGAACATGTGAGGAAGAATAAAGTTTTAAAGAAAATTGAAACAAAAAGGACACTTCTGCTTAACATCATAAGATATAGTTGAAATTTTTAGGGCACATTTTAAGGAAAGAGAACTTGGAAAATTTGACACTCAGAAGAAATATTGATGGCAAGAGGGATAGAGAAAAACAGTGCATAACCTACCTAATAAGCTTGTATAAATTGATAACAGAACAGTGTTTAGGAGCAACAGAAAAAGACAAAATTTATTAAGTTACAAATGATAGGAAGCTATGGAAAGCCTTGATCGCTAAGATCCTGAAAAGACATAACACACAGAAGAGGAAGATAAGAAAATCATTATGTTGGTGAGCATATTGCACAGGCAATTATACACGGGAAGTCATATATTTGTGGCCTTGTGTCACACTATAAATTTAATAAATACCCATTTGAGTGTCTTTTGTGGCTTTCCTGTTAATGGAGGTGCTATACAAGAAGGAATATTTCCTAGCTATAAGCATTTTTTTCCATGATATAGTAACACCTTAATATATGGACAGAGCAAAATAACTGAAAGAAAAGAATGACAAACATGCATTATTCTCAAAACAATTTTTATACTGATATACACTTATCACTGATTTGTCCCACAAACAGAAACTATAACATATGTATACAACAAGTAGTGTGAAAGAGGCAAAAGAAAGAGGGTCTTACTTGTAATATTTCACACCAAAAAAAAACATGCAGGTTGGTAGTGTCTTCTATGTACCTGGTGAGACAATGTATGTATTACTACAATGGGTTTGTCATGTCTGTCTTCTTTGCAGCTTACATAGTAACCTGTATGGGCAGGAACATCTTGATTCGGGAAGTGCTAACTGAAAAACTGGTTTTCGCAACTCTGTGAACTGTTATCTCTGTCTATATTTCTGAGATGAGGTATTAACACTATTTACATTGTTCAGACTATTGTCCTCATCTTTGTTGTCATATTCACAACATTTCAACCATTGTATACTCTGGTCAATCTTCAGGGCACATGGCCCAGGGGAAAAAAGTGTTGGTTGAAGTAATCCAGTGATTTGACCCAAAGAGTTGTGAGTTCAATACCTGGCCACAGCAGAGGTGAAAAAAAACTTGGAGAGTTACGAAAGGGAAAATACTGACACTGAGATGTCTGGAAATATAGCACATGGAACTTGAACAATC